TGGAATGGTGTCCAAATTGGATCACTAGTCGTGTAAAATTAACATGAGGGAGCAAGGTATTCCTTTTATCAAAAAACCTGAATGGAGTGCAGTGTGTTTATCTTATATTAGTTAATTGGATTAGATTAAGAATTCTGTTTTTGGAGCGATTGCAACGTAAGTATTTTTGGCTAAAAGAGCACAGTCATTGTATCATCACTTAAAATGCCCTTTGATACATAGCTCTGAGTTAACAACATGCTTCCAAACCGTTTTTAGCATTAAAGGAAGTAACATGAATTTTACAAAATATTAAGCCAATAAGGACTATTTATAAACAATTGTTAAAAGACACCACATTTCAAGACTTTGGAGCAATATGGATTAAGGAATAGCAGTTTGCAAACATGGATATTTGCTCAGATATTTAAGTTGCTTCAGCTCAGAGTTTGTGAGCAGTTTTACAATCTGCCTACTACTGGTATAGTAAGATTAAAAATGACAAAGAAAAAAACAATGAGGAACAGCAAAATCAGAAATATACAGTTGCAACCACTTTAAAGTATGTAGCCAAAACCTGGAGATAGTCAGCAATCTCTTATCCAAAATCATTTCTCAAACAACTTAACAGGAAGAAGGCAGGCCTTATATCTGGGGAGAGGCTCTGCAGATATGTTGGTACCTACATATCATAAAGTTAACATAAATTCAACTACAAAATGAAACCCCATCTGTTGGTGAATTCCCGCAGCTGGCATACTCGGAACACAGTGTGATCTGTATAGGATGATTCCTTCTCTAGAAGATTTATTCTTTTCTATAGATGCTCAGGTACTAAGTGTTTGGACATTTAACAAGAGGATAGAAATAGATATCATGAATTTTTATGATTGTAAACAACAAAATCAGCTCCCCCAATTCCTTCCTACTGAGTTGAGAGGACACTGGTTTTCCATCAGTTATAAAAATAGGAATTTAGACTGCACATTCAAGTTTACTATTTCCCCCACTTTGTTGTTATTTAAATTGGAATAAATGTGAATATTTAGTCTTATCATGGGAACTCTTACCATAGGAAGAGAATACATAAGATACATTGGTATACAGGACAGGTAATTGCCTATGGGAATCCACCTTCACTCCTTTCTTACAGACATATCAATTAAACAAAGAAGCCGTCATTTATAGCTCCAGTGCTTTTTTTTTGTCATAGAACTCATCGGAACAGAGTTCCGGCACCTTTTTTTGATATATTTTCCAAGTTTTAAAAGTAACTTTTGAAAATGTGATGTTTGGTCCACATGGACTTGAATCGCCCTGTTGAGTGTAGCAAGTCGGCGGCAAAATCATTAAAACGGTGCATGTGGGCTGCTTGTGTGTCGAGTCCAATGCACGCGTACTTTGTCCAGCTGCTTGGCTTGTGGCACTGCTCGGCTTGTGATTGGTCATGTGGTTGCAAGCTGAGTGCTTACTGCAGGTGACGACTATTATGTTTCGTTACACAACTGATGTGTGTGGGTGTGTGTACAGTGATTGACTAAGTGCAAAAGGTAAATAAAAGATTAACAAGATGTGAGTTCCAGCACCTTTTTTGTACAAAAAAAAGCATTGTATAGCTCCCACAATGCCTCTAATCTGACATCCCTTTGGGTCATTATGCAAAGCACATAATGATAAAAAGAGAAAAAGGGCCCAGGCAATGTAATACTTACAGGAAATTCTCTCCTTGTTCTGGGCCAGGATTTCAGAATGGCTTAAGGCTTGACAAATGTATATTTGTTTGGAGAAACAAAGGCAGGTCTGCTTGTGGGATATATGCAAGGAAAGAACCCTCAAACCAAATAGGTATCTTCTAAGTGTTTCCTTTGTCTAGCATTTCCCTTCAAAGAGTCCTTTGAATACAATAAGCCACACAGAGTTAGCCTGTGATAAGATGGGAGGCCAATAAATGTAATTAATTAAACAAACAAACAAGAAAGAAAGCAAACAATGGTACATCAGGCTAGTTTTAAATCAGGGGTCTTCAAACTTGGCCCTTTTATGACTTGCGGACTTCAAATCTCAGAATTCCTCAGCCAGATATGCTGGCTGAGGAATTCTGATAGTTGAAGTTCACAAGTCATAAAAAGGCCAAGTTTGAAGACCCCTGATTTAGATCCTGGATTTAATGTTCTTATTTCTGCAAGGGAGAAGTAAAACATCAGGTAGAATGCTTTAACATCAGGCAGGAAGCTTGGAAATAACATTTATCTTTGCTTTTTGCCCTGTCTCACAGAATCCACAGCAATTCCTTGCTTTGTTTGTCCTACATTCCTGAGGAATTAGAGAAATAACCAAAGGCCTCAAAGACAAAGACCTGATTTAAGCAAGGAATTTTATTGTTGAATCTTTAGGATCTCTAGCCAGCAATGCACCTTAACACTTTGGTGCAGACAAGGGCAGTAATAGGCAGAGTGATCCCGCACAGGGGACGTGTCTGAATTACATGCCTGTTCAGGACAGACTTTTTCAATATTTTGGAAGGGGCACTTTTAAGGCCATTCTTCTTCTTTTTCTTTGTCATGCTATTCTTGATTTAGAAAAGGGATTGTAAGTGTGTGTTTTCCACTTTGTAGTGGTGGAAGCTTACTTTGCAGCAGAGAAGCTCCATAGCAATAGAAGAGAATATTTATAGCTCAGATTGAACTGTGGGGTCCTTGGTGCTGTCTGAGCTTGGTTGTTTTCTTACAGATGTTTCATCACCAACTAGGTAACACCACCAGTGCTGTGTAATGAAACATCTGCAAGAAAACAACCAAGACCAGACAGCACCAAGGACCCTGTAGAAATAGGTTTGGGGACAGTATATGGCTGGGAACATGTGAGTATCCAGATGTAACCCTTTTAAAGATATTAAGAAAAAGTGGCTGTGTTGGTCTTGGCATGTGCAGAAGCCAAACCTGTTTCTCTTGCCTGCCTCTGGATTAGTTGTGAGTTGTTTCCAAAAGAAACCAAACCAAAGACAGAAATCAAAACTAGGCATTCATTGCAGCTTGACAAAGGTTATTGTTCCGCACTTCTGCCCTTGGAGACTTTAATCGCTTGATTCTTAAATTTGAGCACTTGCTTTTATGTGTCATCTTGTATAAAATACATTGGGAGGGAAAGAAGGAGGAAGGGAGGGAGAAAGGGAAGGAGGGGATCACCTCTTTCATCAAAGTAACAGAGCCCTTCATACAGCTTCCTTGAACTTGTGGGCATAGAACAGAGATGTTGTTTGTGTGCGTATGGGTATGCATTTGTGGCATGCAGAGAGCCCTAGAGTCAAGGAAAAATGAATGTGGGGGGGGGGGAAATCTCAGGTCTCTGCAAATCTGAGATGGTGCTTATTTTCAGGATGAATATTGGGGTGAGGGTAGGATTGTCTTTCTCAGGGAAATTGTCAAGCACCAGGGAAATCAGGAGATTCAGGCAGTTCTTACAAGAATAGAATAGAATAACAGAGTTGGAAGGGACCTTGGTGGTCATCTAGTCCAGCCCCCTGCTCAGGCAGGAAACCCTATACCATTTCAGACAAATGGTTGTCCAGTCTCTTCTTAAACTTCCAGTGTTGGAGCATTCGCCGCTTCTGGAGGCAGGTTGTTCCACTGGTTTAATTGTTCTAACTGTCAGGAAGTTTCTCCTTAGTTCTAGGTTGCTTCTCTCCTTGATTAGTTTTCACCCATTGCTTCTTGTCCTGCTTTCAGGTGCTTTGGAGAATAGCTTGACTCCCTTTCTTTGTGGCAGCCCCTGAGATATTGGAACACTGCTATCATGTCCCCCCTCGTCCTTCTCTTTGTTAAACTAGACATACCCAATTCCAGCAACCTTTCCTTATATATTTTAGCCTCCAGTCCCTTAATCATCTTTGTTGCTCTTCTCTGTACTCTTTCTAGAGTCTCAACATCTTTTTTACATCGTGGGGACCAAAACTGGATGCAGTATTCCAAGTGTGGCCTTACCAAGACATTATAAAGTGGTATTATACCAAGGCATGATAAAGTTCAAATGAGTATAAAGATTTATTGCAAGCTTAAGCTCTCTACAAGAATCTGAACTACTAGTGATCAAGGGAAATGAACGAGAGATAAGAAAGGAATTCAAGGTCTCTTGTGGGTGTGCAGGGACTTGTGACTGATGACATATTTGATCTCTCCCTTGGGCTCAGCCTGGTCATCTCCTAAGAAGTACAGTGCGTTTGTTGCATGTGTGTTACATACAGTATGTATATATAGACTCTCTCTCTCTGTCTGTCTCTGTCTCTGTGTCTGTCTGTCTGTCTGTCTGTCTGTCTGTCTGTCTGTCTGTCTGTCTGTCTGTCTGTCTCTCTCTCTCTCTCTCTCTCTCTCTCTCTCACACACACACACACACACACACACACACATGATGGAGCCAGGCATCGATCAAGCCTAGGTCACCTGGATTCTAGACCTATGTTACCATCAGCTGCTTTTCTGGGTAACCTTGCTATTACACCCTGTCATAAATTTGTTGTCACCCATAAAAATATCTCTTTGACCCCTTCTTGGTAATTCTTCCACACTCCCTTTGCAGCACTGTGGAACTGAAAAAGATTTTAAGGGCTTTGGCTTCCTCTTTTCTTCCCAAAGTTCAGCCTTGCTTCTTTCCTTGCGTTGAGCTGTCTTGGGGGCTCTGAGAAGTAGAAATCCGGGCTGTTCAGTTGATCAGCTGAACTGATAAATAAGAAATAACATAGTCTAATGTGTGATTTAATGAAAAAGGCACTTTCATTATAAATAAATAAATAAATAATGATTTTTATTTTCATTACGTGTTGATTTGCTTGGTTGATTGATGTGGTCTTCTACTCACCAAGTGGCTTTGAGCCAGTCTTCATAAATATAACACATAAAACTGCAGTTTTTTCTAGTAGGTCTTGCGTTGTGTGAAAGCACTCAATGACCTGCTATAAAATGCAGGACAATATGATTTGTGCCTCAGATATGTAGCCCTGCTTTTTGTTTTACACAGATGCCAGAAGAAACAAATACTTATCTCACCAACATCAATCATCTACAAGGGGAGAGGTGAAGGTTAACACATAGGAGTTGACATCCTTATACAAACCAAGTAAGGTGTACTTCCATTGGAAGTCAGGATAAAATTGTTTTTGTGTGCCTTAAGAAAAATGCCCTGCATTTCAATGGCATCATGGCTTGTTAGGGATATCACTTTATCTTTGAATTTTCCTCCCTCTTTCTTACTTTTATTCCAAAGTGTCCTCAGTATTACAGGATCTTTTCTCCAGCACTGAAGAGATTAAGTTTCTTAAATGAGCTCAACTAAGATTGATGTCACTTAACCAGAAATATATACTGCATACAAAACCTATCACAATACCTACTGTCCATTGTTGTGCTACCATTATTCTTAATCCTGGTTAATAACTCTGATCACTAAATCTTATCAGGATGTTCCCTCCATCATTGTTTCTGTGACTTCCTCTCCTTTGTTTTCATTGTTCTGTTGATTTAAAGATTAACTGTAGACAAGAATTGTATAAAAAGCAGCATGGTATGCTGTAGGAAGGGGCTGAAGCATGCTAAAGAGAGTGACCCCTGTGCTACACTGCTCCCAGTTCTGGAATTTAAAAGGAAATATAATTGCCTTTTGCTCTATCAGCAAATTTCCTTAATAGCTTCCATTGTTTCCTTGCCCATCTGTTTTCCTTTTATCTTTGTCTTTTTTAAATCTCTCTATTCATGCCATTAAAAATAATACTGCAATTGCAATTCCAGAGAAATCCTAGGCTGTAGAATTTGATCATACTAATCTTTTGATAATGATATGTGGTTTTGGCCTGGTTCTTACACTACCCAAATGGTTAATGCACTTATCAAAATTATGAAACACTTGTCAAAACTGTTAATTTAATATTTGAAAATAATACTATAGTGGAGACTTTGTTAATAAAGTAAAAAATGTATATGTCTTCTTATCTTTTTAATGTTATGAAAGCATTTTTATGTACTTTGCTTCATGTCTATGGAGATTCTCAGTCATCCAGGTCATAGCTGTCTCAAAGATGCTTTTTCAAGAGGAAACTGGTATCTTTTATCTGGTATCTTTTGCTTGGTATCTTTTATGAATATCGTATTTGAGCATCAATTGTTCAATTGCAGTAACTATCTGTCCATCTAGAGACATTATCTTTAAAAAAAGATCCCTCTATTTTAAATAAAAAGGAGGAAAAAAAACCTGTTAAGCATTTTAACTTCTCTTATCCATTGCTTTTATTGTTATAAATAAAAAAAAACCTACACTAAGTTGTAGTCCAGATTCTTGTTGATGCAACCATATATTCAATTTCAATCAATCAATCAGTCAATCAATCAAATCTCGGCCTTAATGCCACTGAAACTCTCCACCCTCTGCCTTCAGGCCTTTTCGGGTTGTGGGTTCAATTCTCTGGTAACTGAAAGCTCCTGCTTCTGATATTCCTGCTGATTGCTACCATAACCAGCCCTCTAAAGGAGCCCATTAACAAGCTGGACAGGCTGCAGGTGTCTGGAGAGACCCCACACCAAAACCCTGCACTAGAACTTCCAGTTTTCTTCTGAAGTTTCAAAACTGCATCCGTATATCTGATGACTGTTTCCTCAAAAAGGCTTTGAGATGAAGGGAAGGTATTCAGATGAATAACCAGCTGTGATGTTTTCCAGCTATGCTTGACTTTCAGGGACCGTCGAGCTTATTCACTTCTGGTCTATGCAGAGCAATTTCCCGTCACCACGTTGGCTCCTTGTGACAGTCCTCATCTTTGGACCTAATCTCCGGTTAGTAGAGTCACCTGTTCTTTGTCATTTGTCAGAGTGAAACTTTCAGAGAGGATTTGGCACAGAAGGTAATTCCACTGGTTTTAAAGTCACTACCTTGACTCTTCGTTTATTTAATATTACAGAACGTAATTCACAGGTGATCAAATACCATTAGTCTTACAGATTGAGCAAAAACACAATGACTGATAAATGGCTCTTACAATGTCAGCCCAAGGTTGGGCTGTCTTTTGCTTTCTGAAGTGTATCTCAAAACATCACAAAGCTGAGGGTATTTTGGAGATCATCTCTATTCTTCCTGCTAAAAATAGGATCTGCAATCCAAACCGAAACGATAGCATCTATTGGAGAAACCTAGCATCTGCGTAAATTAATATGAGGTTTAACAGATAGCTCTCTAATCTCTCTTGTATTGCTCTGGTTATTCATTCAGACATAAAGAGTAATCTATGATCAAACTCTAAAGTCAACTTCCTATCTCTGGAAGTGAAAAGTTTCTACTACCATTGCTGGACTCAGAGATCAAACAGGATTAATAGAACAACCAGTGAGAGAGATTGACTGGGGGAGGGGGAAGGGATCCACTACTAGGGTGATTTTTCTCTTTGTTCTGCCATCATGGGAGTGACCAAATATGAGAGTGGATTTTCCCATGGTTGCTCTTAAAATTTTGGAATTCCCTGCCAGGGGACATCTGGTTTTCCTGACAGATAAGCAGAGGCTTATCTTTACCACACTTGGCAAAAATGCTATTTTTCTGGTATGTCTTTGTTATATGGGTTCATATTGGACTGCAGGGTTAGTGCTGTTTGTATTCTTAATATCCCACATGTTTGTGTTTTGTTTTGATTTGATTTGATTATTGTTAGCTACGCTGAGCACCACAGATTGGTATGAAGCTTAAGTGTTCTTTCTTTTTTAAAAAAAATTTTAAAAATTATTTTATTTTTAACTAACAAAACAAAACAAAGCAAAACATAACACACATACACACACATATATTCCTCTCCCTTTTTTTTAACCACGATTACGTATTGTTGAGTCTTCAGCTTAATGGCGAATAATCACAGAGCATCTCGTAGTGTCAAGAAGCCTTTATTGTTGTTTCTTCAGCTCTGTTACAGCTCTGAGGCACGCAGGCCTCTCTGCCTCTCTTAAGAATACTTCCCCGGACCAAATAGCAACATTTGGCGCGCTCCGCGCCTCGTGCATGTGTGCGAAGCCGGCGCCAGCCTGTCTGGTCCCGGGCAGCTTGCAACTGCCCGGGACTGTTGCAATGTCCCGAGTCTGCCTTTGCAGGCTCAGGACACAACACCCCTTCCCTCCCAGCTAAGACTAATAAACTATATGAATAGTTACATGCGACCTCAACATGAGCGTGGCGTGTCAACCCATGCTCCAATGGTACTGGGCTATTGTTCTGGGCATTAATACCCAATGCCCATATTTCCATTGCTCCCAACAGCAGACACCCTCTCACTGTTTCTGCTTTGCCAGCAGAGTTACAAAGTCCTCAAGGTACTTAGGAGATCTCTTGACTCTCTGTGACCTCCTTAGACCCTGAGAATCCCCAATTCTATTTTGCCCAGAGGATGACATGAATTTGCCCCCTCTTTCAGACCCTGGTGGTCCCCATGGACCATGCCCCGTTGCCTGGTCTGCTTGCTTGCCCACCGGGCTCGTCAGACCAGGACTTTGTTCTCCCAATAACCTGGTTGACCTAACTAGTTGCAGGCTCTCTGGCCCCTCTATAAAACTGCCACTGTTAGGCAACTCTGTAGTGCCTCCCAGGCCCACACTGGACCTATCAAGGGGCTGCATTCCTTCGCTCCCCAGTCCCGTAACAGGACTGTCTGGGGTTTCAGTATTTCCCCAAAACTCAGTTGCCCCCCCATCTGTGCCGGAGGTGTCAGACTTGGGATGTGCCTCTCTGGCCACCTCCCTGTGTGAATACCTCCTTCTGGAAACAGTAGCAGTACTGGGCCAACTAGACTGGTTTTGTGCCAGCTCTCTTGCAATGTTTGAGTTATTAGGATGCTCCCGGTTATTCTCCCTGACTGGAGTGCTGAATGGTATTGGTGAATGATGAGTATGCCCCCTGGGTGACTCCCTGGCTGGAGTAGGCACTGGTGCCTATGTGCTTCCCATGGATTCCTGTTTGGAACACTTGCGGAATCTTGGAATAGGCCATCTGTGGCCTTTCTGTTGGGGCCCGGCTGCTGCCAACACCCATCCCTTTGCCCATGGAGGTCCCCCTCCCCCCTGGAAAAGGCCCAGGAGTTTATGAGGGTAAGTCCAGTCTTGTACGCAGCTGGTCGATATGCCGCCGAAGGACACGACCGTCATCCAACGAGACTTCGTACGACAAGGGACCAGTAACCTTGCATACTACAGCAGGAACCCACAAGTGGCCTGGTCCGTAATTATGGGTCCATACTGGGGCACCCACTTGCAGATACCTCGGTGCCCTGGGTTGTGTAGCCTTAGGAGGCAGTCTGTCCAGGTGCAACCGGTCAAGTTTAGTAGTCAGTTTGCGCCCCCAGCGAAGTTCAGCTGGGCTTTTCCCAGTAGAAGTTGAAGGTGTGGTGCGGTACGCAAGAATAAAGTCTGCCAACCTGTGGTGCCAGTCTCCATAGGTCAGTTTCTTTAAAGCATCCTTGGTGATGCGGACCATCCGTTCAGCCATACTGTTGGTGGAAGGGTGGAAAGGTGCAGAGGTGGCATGATGAATCATGTTGGCCTGTAAGAAAGCTTGGAATTTGGAAGAGGTGAATTGAGGGCCATTGTCAGACACCAACACATCCGGAAGCCCATGTGCAGCAAAAATCCCCCTCAGTACTTGAATGGTCTTGGCAGTGGTGGTTGAAGAGACTGGTACAACCTCAAGCCACTTTGAATAGCTATCAACCAGGACCAAGAAGAATTGACCCTGAAAGGGCCCAGCATAATCGATATGCACCCTAGACCAGTGGTTCTCAACCTTTTTAATGCCACGACCCCCAACCGGTCGTAAGTCGAGGACTACTCAACCGGTCGTAAGTCGAGGACTACTCAACTGGTGCAGCACTGTTTGCAGAATGGGACTTTTGGCGGGCTCAGCAGGGCAGAGACAGCCTGAACAATTCCTATTGGCTTTTGAAAGCCAATAGAATTAGACTCTATTCAAGAGAGTCTATTCTATTGGCTTTCAAAAGCCAATAGAATAAAAGGGAGTAGCACAGCTAAGGAAAAGGGGAAAAAATGGCGGACTGCATTGTTTGGCGACCCCCCGTGAAATGGTCATTCGACCCCAAATGGGGTCCCGACCCACAGGTTGAGAACCACTGCCCTAGACCAAGGTGACTGTGTCCTCCCATCTATACACAGGAGCCTGGGGCATTTCTGGGCGTGAGCGCTGACAAAGGTGGCATGCGTGCACCTTAGCCTCAATTTCCTTGTCTAACCCAGGCCACCACAAATGGCTGCGTTCAAGCGCCTTCATTCTTACAATGCCAGGATGGCCCTCATGAAGGGAAGCTAAAACTCTAGACCTCATTGAGGTAGGAATAACAACTCTGCTGCCCCACAGCAGGCAACCCTGAAAAGTGGATAACTCATGTTTCTTAAGCCAGAAACTCTGAAACTCAGTACCTGGACAACTCTCTGGCCATCCAGATATAACCCAGGATAATACACGAGAGAGTGTGAGATCTGTGGCTGATTCAGCAGCCACATCCCTGGCATTTAAAGGTGATTCAGGCAGCACCTGAATGGAAAGGATGTTGATGGCAGGGGCAGGATCAGCCTCCACTACTTGTAAGGGTAATCTACTGAGTCCATCAGCATGGCCCACTTTTTTTGCCAGGTTTGTGAACTAAAGAAAAATCATAGGCTGACAGAAAGATGGACCATCTCAGCATCCTGGGGGAGATGATATGGGGGATTTGTTTGTTTGTAGTAAACAACCCCAGCAAAGGCTTGTGGTCAGTGTAGACCGTGAAATGTCTGCCATATAAAAAATCATGGAATTTTTTAATGCCCGCAACAACAGCCAAGGCTTCCCTGTCTATCTGGGCATAGTTTCGCTCAGCAGAAGACAAGGTTCTGGAGTAATAAGCAACAGGAACCTGAGTTCCATCAGGTCTAAGATGGCTAAGTACTGCTCCCACCCCATAAGGGGAGGCATCACAAGCGATGCACACAGGAAGAGTTTCATTAAAATGTGCAAGCACATTATTAGATGTAAGTAAGGCCTTAACCTCATTGAAGCTTGCTTCATGTGCTTGTGACCACTGCCACACAGCCTGTTTGTCCAGAAGCCTATGAAGTGGTTCAGCTACATTAGCTTTGTTAGGAATGAAAGCATTATAGAAATTCAAGAGGCCCAGAAAAGCTTGTAGTTCAGCTTTGGACTGAGGCCTAGGAGCTTGCATAATAGCCTTTAATTTAGACTCAGCAGGATAAATGCCAGTGGCATCAATTTTGAATCCCAGAAAATCTGTAGAAGGCACCCCAATTTTACATTTGTCTTTTTTAAGCTTGAGGCCTGTTTTCCGGAACCGCAGCAGGACAGCCCTCAATCTCTCAGTTAAATTTTGAGTGGAATCTCCAGAAATTAAGACATCATCAAAGTAGGGGCAAACCCCTGGTATACCCCTCAAACTATTTTCCATTACGCTTTGGAAAATTCCAGGAGCCATATTTACTCCAAATTGTAGTCTTTTGACTTTAAATGCCCCCCTGTGTGTTACAATGGTTTGTGCTATAGCAGCAGCTTCATCAACAGGTAACTGTTGATAAGCCTGTGCTAAATCTAGCTTAGCAAAAACATGCCCCCCCCCCCCTTGAGGGAAGCCAGAATATGGCTGACTACAGGTGCAGGATAGGCATGTTGTTGCAATGTCTTATTTAGGGTGCATTTGTAATCTGCACAGATGCGAATGTCCCCATTAGCCTTAAGAGGCCTGACTATGGGAGTTTCCCAAGGACTGGAGTCAACAGGTTCTAAGACTCCTTGCTGA